GAGAATTGGGACACATGGACCATTGGGCACATGGTGAAGCCTCTAAAAAATTGGTCTAATGAGTAATATGAATTTATCCTACATTGTTAGTTTGGAAAAAAATCATTTTGCCCCTTTGTTAAAGAAGAGAACTTATGCTTAACGTCAACATGAATTCATTTCACTACCTTTAAGCCTAGACCCCCAGTTATTAATTCATAATTGTAAAAATAGTGTGATACAAATGGAATAATCTTTCAAATTTAGGAAGGAACATATTCGGTTCGATTCACTTTAAAACCGAAAAACCAGTTAGGATAAACTGAATATTGTGCAAAAACTCACTCCAAAGTTATCTATCTTCTAAGATAAGGCAATGGACCATCATTGTCCTCTACATTGAAACTTGTCACAACTTTAAGTTTGGGTCTCTGCCTTTTTTTCTTCTTTTTTTACCTTACTTCTTCTTTAGCCTAAAGCCCAAGAGTCTGGTTCATACACTCTCGAGCTTCTTCTAGTGCAAATTTATTTGCATATAGTATCTTCTTAACTGCAACCACAATATGGTGTCTGCACCATATTGTGGTTTCAATAATATATATTATTATCAAATTCTCAAATATTTTGAATTAAAACGAAGAGAAATGCTATGACTTATAACGAGAGCTCATCGAGTTCAGGAGTCTGGCAGAGTATCTCTATATCTCGGAGCTTGTGATGGGCTGAGTTCTTCTTCCATCTATAGGCACTCTTTCTAGCATGCCAGAACTCAGCAAGAGCGTCACTTGGAATGAAAGGTGAAGAAATCTATAGATGACTTGAAGGTGAATAATTTTCTCAGGTGTCTCATCCTTTGGTTTTACTATTGGAACAATCTTCTTATATTTTGGGTTGACCCTGCAAGCTGTCTGGAAACTTCCTCAAGCTTTACTCCCCCTCCTTGGTTTACTTTTGGAATATTTTGATCTGAAAGCTTTATGTGAGTCCATGAAGACAGTTTATATAGCCGTTAATAATCCAAGGAGAGAATTTAGTCCGAACAGATTTTGTATTGTTATATGTAGGAGAATATGATGCAGTTATAATATGTCTTGGATCAAAGGTAGACTTTCTTCCAAGGCTTACCGGAAAGCTCCCTTTGAGGACATGTCGAGGTGTCATTACTCATATGAAGTTACATGACAGTGCCATGTAATTCTTCTTTGTGCTCTATAACAACATGTCTTGATTGGTGTAGTACTAGATTTGACCCCGCAACAAACGCGAG